TAAAATCCAAAAGGCCAGACTTCTAGTCTGACCCTGGTCTTTGGAGGGAAGAGTCTCTCCTGAAAACTGATAACCTCATTCCTACCCTTACTGACATTTGGGGTATGGATTTATTACTTCCAAGCCGAGCAAGTAACAAAATGATCCTGGGTTATAATCTCTGGACTCCTGGTAGAGTCAAATGTTTAATAATATAGTATCTCTGGAAGGAGATACCCTTGGTATCTATTTACATAAGTAGATTAAGTCTACTTATAAAGTACCCACGAAAACTGTCTACATCAGAACATAAAAAAAATAAAATCTAAAGTCTAAATAAAATCTAAAATCTAAAATAAAATGCTAAAGGTATATATATGGCATTGCTAATATATTATTAGCAATTCTTTTAACTAGTAATGTTTTCTATAGAATTACTGATGCTTTTCTCATGTTGTTTTATCAGAGCAAGATATGTGAATTACATCAAAACATCAGAAGTGGTCAGACTGCCCTATCCTCTCCAAATGAAATCTTCAGGTCCACCTTCTTACTTTATTAAAAGGGAATCATGGGGCTGGACAGACTTTTTGATGAACCCAATGGTATGTATCAGACTAAAATGAAGCATTTTACTAATCCCTAATTTGCTTCTAGGTAGTTGAAAACTTCAAACCCCTGTGAGATAGAAAGCTGAAGTCTAATTAGTGGATGAAAACATAATTGTAATTTGCAGATTTCAGGAAAGTAGTGGCTTTGGGAATACATAATGAAAAGAATATAGTGAGAATTGTACTGTAGATTTGACATTGAAATGTGCAACAGAGATTGAATAAATAATTATTTATGATGAAATGTTTTAAATTTCATGTAGAATAAGAGTATTGCAGTAAGTCATACATGGAGCTCTCTCATCATGCTCCATGCATGTTAGTCTATTGATGAATGTGCCATCATTTATTCACCCTGTTGATAGCATAAGTAAGGTTTTCTTTCTCTTTTTTTTAACATATGTAGCCAACAGAGAAGTTATTCTGTGGTAATTTAAGTAGTTGGTATTATGAAACTGATGTTATATTACTAGTAATAAAACACTAATAGAATATATTTTTTAGAAACAAATTGACTTATTTTTTTTTTTGAAAGTTGAATTATTGTTTTAGAATTGTCTAAGTTTTGGACATATTCCTTGCTGATAGCTATTTAGATCACAAACAGGAATATTCAGGAGCTGTACCTCCTCTAGAGAGGAATAAATTAGTACCCAGAATCTGTTATCAGAAATAAAGATGGCCAGGTGCGGTGGCCCACGCCTGTAATCCTAGCACTCTGGGAGGCTGAGGCGGAAGAATTGCTTGAGCTCAGGAGTTTGAGACCAGCCTGAGCAAGAACGAGACCCTGTCTCTACTATAAATAGAAAGAAATTAGCCAAACAACTAAAAATAGAAAAAATTAGCTGGGCACGGTGGTG